GTCCCCTACTATGATTGTGTTAATGTGGATTTCCCATTTTATGGCTGTTAGCATTTGCCTTATGTATTGAGGTGCTCCTGTGTTGGGTGCATAAATATTTACAATTGTTATATCTTCTTGGATTGATCCCTTGATTATTATGTAGTGTCTTTTTTTGTCTCTTGTAATAGTCTTTAAAGTCTATTTTGTCTGATATGAGAATTGTTACTCCAGCTTTCTTTTGATTTCCATTTGCATGGAATATCTTTTTCCATCCCCTCCCTTTCAGTCTGTATGTGTCCCTAGGTCTGAAGTGGGTCTCTTGTAGACAGCATATGTACGGGTCTTGTTTTTGTATCCATTCAGCCAGTCTATGTCTTTTGGTTGGAGCATTTAATCCATTTCCATTTAAGGTAATTATTGATATGTATGTTCCTATTCCCATTTTCTTAATTGTTTTGTGTTTGTTATTGTAGGTCTTTTCCTTCTCTTGTGTTTCCTGCCTAGAGAAGTTCCTTTAGCATTTGTTGTAAAACTGGTTTGGTGGTGCTGAATTCTTTTAACTTTTGCTTGTCTGTGAAGGTTTAATTTCTTCATCGAATCTGAATGAGATCCTTGCTGGGTAGAGTAATCTTGGTTGTAGGTTTTTCCCTTTCATCATTTTAAATATGTCCTGCCACTCCCTTCTGGCTTGCAGAGTTTCTGCTGAAAGATCAGCTGTTAACCTTATGGGGATTCCCTTGTATGTTATTTGTTGCTTTTCCCTTGCTGCTTTTAATATTTTTTCTTTGAATTTAATTTTTGATAGTTTGATTAATATGTGTCTTGTGTTTCTCCTTGGATTTATCCTGTATGGGACTCTCTGCACTTTCTGGACTTGATTGACTATTTCCTTTCCCATATTAGGGAAGTTTTCAACTATAATCTCTTCAAATATTTCTCAGTCCCTTTCTTTTCTCTTCTTCTTCTGGAACCCCTATAATTCAAATATTGGTGCGTTTAATGTTGTCCCTGAGGTCTCTGCGACTGTCCTCAGTTCTTTTCGTTCTTTATTCTGCTCTGCAGTAGTTATTTCCACTATTTTATCTTCCAGGTCACTTATCTGTTCTTCTGCCTCAGTTATTCTGCTATTGATTCCTTCTAGAGAATTCTTCATTTCTTGTGTTGTTCATCATTGTTTGTTTGCTCTTTAGTTCTTCTAGGTCTTTGTTAAACGTTTCTTGTATTTTCTCTGTTCTATTTCCAAGATTTTGGATCATCTTTACTATCATTACTCTGAATTGTTTTTCAGGTAGACTGCCTGTTTCCTCTTCATTTGTTAGGTCTGGTGGGTTTTTGCCTTGCTCCTTCAACTGCTCTGTGTTTCTCTGTCTTCTCATTTTGCTTAACTTACTGTATTTGGGGTCTCCTTTTCCCAGGCTTCAGGTTCGTAGTTCCCATTGTTTTTGGTGTCTGCCCCCAATGGGTAAGTTTGGTTCAGTGGGTTTTGAAGGCTTCCTGGTGGAGAGGACTGGTGCCTGTGTTCTGGTGGATGAGGCTGGATCTTGTCTTTCTGGTGGGCAGGTCCGTATCTGGTGGTGTGTTTTGGTGTGTTATGATTTTAGGCAGCCTCTCTGCTAATGGGTGGGGTTGTGTTCCTGTCTTGCTAGTTGTTGGGCATAGGGTGTCCAGCACTGTAGCTTGCTGGTCCTTGAGTGGAGCTGGGTCTTAGCATTGAGATGGAGCTGTCTGTGACAGCTTTTGCTGTTTGATATTATGAGGGGCAGGGAGGTCTCTTGTGGACCAGTGTCCTGAACTCAGCTCTCCCACGTCAGAGGCTCAGGCTTGACACGTGGCTGGAGCACCAGGACCCTGCCAACCACACGGTAATCATTCTTTTATGTGGCGGACCAACAGTGGGGCAGGGAGAGTTGTTTGTCCAGGCTAAATTCCAGCTGGAGGAGGTCATGGAGAGGACATACTGGTTGGACGGAGACGTGGACCCAGGCAATTCAGCAGCTCAACTATCAGGTTAGCGGAGGCACCTTCCACCTAAAATGTTTATATTACATTTTATTTTAATACTTTGTCAATACTTTCTCGTACAAGTTGACTTTTCCTAAAGGAAGACTTAAGAAAATACTCCAATTCTGGGATGATTTGATAACTGCTTTGAGAATTAAATCTTCTCATGCTGATCTGCTTGGCCATCTTTTGTGGCTCAGTGAACTTCAGGGATGTTTAGTTCCATCAACCTTCAAGTTCATGAGTCTTGCATGTGTTCTCCTCAACTGTCCATTGCATTCCCTTCCCTGAAGAATTACATTTAAATTATTTTGTTTGTTTAAGGTAATCACTAATTAACATAGGCTTTCCTATATTTACATTTCGGTGAGGTTTAGACCTCACAATAGCTAGAAAATAAAATATAAATCTACTGTTCAAAAGGAAATTTTTAAAAAGCAGGTTCAGTGAGTGTGAATTTTAAAATTTGATACCAAAAAATCCCCAATTTTAGAAAACATCAATTTTATTTAAGTTAATGGGTGAGTGAGTGATTTTTTTTTTAAGGAAATAACTCAGGAAAGGGCTGATAATTTTATTATAATAATATGATAGCCAGATCTGGTGGTTATTCTCTTGGGGATGTATCCTATGGCCTGCCTTTAATATTATGAAAAAATATTAAATAAATACGTGTAATTTAACATGCAATAATGCGATGAAATAAACTCCATAAAAGGGGCACATACCACTGGGTTCCCTCAATGCTGGGGACTGTGGGAAATGAGAATATCTGATGGGTCGTGTTGCTTGTTGGCCTGTGAATCTGTCTTCTTGTTACCAAGGAGGCCCTTGTACATGCCAAGTCCAGTGAGAGCTCTACACACAGGGCAGGGATGCTGGGATGAAGACCGTCCCATCCCCAGACTGAATTCTAAGGAAGCCAGGTGATCCTAGGGACAAGGGAATAGATGCCCGGCTGACCACTTTGCTTTTCATTTGGGGCTGAGAGAGGGAGGCAGGCCTGCATGGACCCTATAAGAGGTACACAGTGTGCCCTTTAGAATCACAAGGTGATTCTAGACATCACCCAGTCCAGCCTTTTCATTGTGAAGATGAATTGGGAAGCCGGGTCCAGAGCAGGGAGGTGACTTAATCACACCTGGTAGAGTTAGAGGCAGAGTCAGCATGATGTACTAAATCGCTGAATTTAAATCCAGGATTTTTACAGCTAGCTCCTCTATTTTGTACCCTAAGAGTCTAAAACAGTAATAAGAAACCTTTTTAAGAAAATTCAGAAAAAATGAAAATGGAAGCTGTCTCTTTAAAGAGTACTATCTTGGGCTTCCCTGGTGGTGCAGTGGTTGAGAGTCCGCCTGCCGATGCAGGGGACACGGGTTCGTGCCCTGGTCTGGGAGGATCCCGCTGAGCCCGTGAGCCGTGGCCGCTGAACCTGCACGTCCAGAGCCTGTGCTCCACAACGGGAGAGGCCACAACAGTGAGAGGCCCTCATACTGCAAAAAAAAAAAAGGAAAGAGTACTATCTTTCTCTTCTAATTCTTTTTCTCCCCCAAAATCAAGAAGGGTAGTATCTGCATCAGTTTCAGCATTCTCATATTTCTTCTCTGTCATGAAATCCTCTCCCCTTTTTCACTATGATAGCAGTCATTGCAAAACTGACTCCCTTTGCCAAATCTAATCTAGTTTGGGAAGTATGAGCTCTCTACGTTAAAGATCACAAAAGTTCTCAGTTTTATTGCAACCACATTAGTTGCAAAATACAGTTGGTCTCACTGGTCCTCCTAATATTGTAACCTAAATCTAAGGAAAACTTTCCACTGCAATAAGGTAAACAGTATTGTCATTAACACAAAGAGAAACTCTGAAGTTCAGTTATTGAAACAATTTCATGAGCTGCTTTTCTCTTTTCGGCACTAGCCATTGCAGAGAAGCAGGGCATTGCTAAAATTTATTTAGGAAAAGGTCCTCTCGGCCCCTCAGTCCTGGGCTAAATACCTAATCACCCTCCCCCATGGGTCTGTGCTCGAGGGGGACGTACGGGCCTGGGCACCCCGTGGAACAGTTCCACTTCTTCCTGCAGTCCCACTTTCAACCACAGGATCCCCGGCTAATCAGAGCCTGCCAGGTACCCCTGCTGGGTTTGTCACACCAGCCAGCAGCCTTGGAGGGCTGAGCAGGTGCCAGCTGTTTGACCCTCTCAGAGGAGATTCAGGAATTGAGATGGAGGCCTTGGGCCCTGGGTTGCTCGTCATCACTCTGAGACCTTCATGAAGTTTTCTGTTTTATTCAGTGTTCTGTGGCTGACACTACCATTTTGGTGTTGATGCCTTGTTAAATCTAATTTTAAAATGAAGCTATGGTATGGAAGGTTCACCTTTTCAAATGATCCTCAGTATGTATATTTAGTAAAGCGAATGTAAGAAACTAATAATGTTACCTATTCTTGCTGAACAAGTCATCCCAAAACCTAGTGGCTTAGAATGACAGCCATGTTCTTTGCTGATGAGTCTGTGGGTCGGCAGTGTGGGCTGGTTGGTTCTTAAGCTTCCTTTACCTAGAATTGCGCCTGCAGCTGCAGTCGTGTGGCAGGTCATCTGGGGTGGGAGTCTAAGGTGGCCTCGCTGACGTGTGGCAGTTTGCCAGGCCACGTTACCTGCAGCAGAACAAAGCAAGCGCCAGGGCCCAGTTCAGAGTCGGTGTGGGAGATGACCACACCCCCAGGAGGCGTTATTCACTGGGGAGCCATGAATACTGTGAATTATCTCCCTTCCTTCCTCCCTAGTAGAAGGGTTCCCAGGTTCATCAGCATAAATAGAATGACTCTGATGTCATTCTGAGATAGTTAGCCAATAATTTTTTCCACCCCCTTCTACTTTTTATTTAAATGAATTATAATTTAGCCATGTCAGGGGTCAAATAGGGATCCTGAGCACAAGTTGTAACAAAATGTAAAAGCTCCCGCTATATTTTAGATGTATTGTTGAGCCATTTGTAAGTGAGATGTTGCTGTGTTTCAGACCTCTTTACTATGCAAAGCCGCCATCCATGCAGGAGTAATTGCAGATGAAGTGGGCGGTCAGATTGGCGTGCTTCTGCGCAGAGGCATGAGTCGATACGAAGGGATCCTGGCCAATGGTGTGCTCTCAAGGCAGTAAGTACTTTGCCTTTTGTTCCGAGTGGAAGGTAACCCCGCAGGCACAAGTCATCAGCTCACAGCCTGGAAAGGGCTGCAGGCATGTGATACCAAGGGCATGTCAACTGGGAAAAATGTGTGTGACTGCTTAGAGCAGCATTGATGCTGTCAGTGTGGAAGACAAATGCAGCAATAAAAAAGCTCACTGACAAGTAAGTTAGGATAGCACACATCCGAAGCCCCAGGAGAGAGGAGCATTCTACTCTCAGGTGCTCCAGCGGGAGGGGATAAAGCTTATTCCTCTCTAGTTTTTCCTGATTCTGTAAATTACTGATCATCACCAATATCACCAGAGATACTGAAGGAGATAAGGGACTGACATAAACCCAGCAGAACCACTGAACTCCCTAGAGGATCCCTAGAGACAGTCTCTTAAGGATGAATAATAGTTGGGAAGTGAAAATAAGATGGCTTTTTTTTTTTTTTTTAACATTGTTAACTTCTCTGTTCCGTGTTATCCTCTGATCTTTTAGCTTCATAAGAAAAAAGTATGTCAATTGCTTTAAACACTTCAACCTCAGCTTTTAATGCTTTCAGGTTTCCTCAGCTTCTAGGGTGGAAAACTAGAGCTGTTTGAACTAAAATAGGCCAGCCTTGTGATCCAGCTGTCCACCAGTATAAACAGGCAGCTTGGAATGGTCCAGAGGGACACTCGCTTTGGAATGGATGGCTGCCTACTGAGGGAACAGTGCTCCTTGAGCCACTGTACAGTGTCCTTGGGGATTGGTTCCAAGACCCCCGTGGATACCAAAATCCATGGATGCTCAAGTCCCTTATAATAAAATGTCATAATCTTTACATATAACTATGCACATCCTCCCAGGTACTTTAAATCATCTCTAGATTATTTATACCTAATACAATGTAAATGCTATGTAAATAGTTGTAAGTACAATGTAAATGTTGTGTAAATAGGCGCCAGCATGTGGCAAATTCCAATTTTACTTCTTGGAATTTTCTGGAATTTTTTTTTTTCTGAATATTTTCACTCTGTGATTGGTTGAATCTGGGGATGCAGAATCTGCAGATACAGCTGACATATATGCACATGTATGTGTACACACATATGTACTATTTACATAAATAAAATTTTATAATATATACACATGTATTATATATACTTACATATATGCACACACATATGTATATACATTTTTTTGTTTTTTATTTTATTTATTTATTTTTGATTGCATTGTGTCTTTGTTGCTGCGTGCCGGCTTTCTCTAGTTGCAGCGAGCGGGGGCTACTCTTCATTGCAGAGCACGGGCTCTAGGCGCACAGGCTTCAGTAGTTGTGGCACATGGGCTCAGTAGCTGGGGCTCGCAGGCTCTAGAGTGCAGGCTCAGTAGTTGTGGTGCACGGGCTTAGTTGCTCCATGGCATGTGGGATCTTCCTGGACGAGGGCTCGAACCTGTGTATTCTTTAACATCTTTATTGGGGTATAATTGCTTTACAATGGTGTGTTAGTTTCTGCTTTATAACATATACATATAGTCATTCTTTTTTGAGGATTTTAAAAAAATTTTATTGGAGTATAGTTGATTTACAGTGTTGTGTTCATTTCAGGTCTACAGCAAAGTGATTCAGTTATACATATACATATAGTCATTCTTTTTTAGATACTTTTCTTATATAGGTTATCACAGAATAGAGTTCCCTGTGTTATACAGTGGGTCCTTGTTGGTTATCTAATGTATAGTAGTGTATGTTCATCCCAAGCTTCTGAATTATCCCTACCCCCCAAGTTTCCCCTTTGTAACCATAAGTTTGTTTCAGGTATCTGTAAGTTTGTTTCTGTTTTGTAAATAAGTTCATTTGTATCATTTTTAAAAATCAGATCCCACATTTGTATCATTTTTAAAAATCAGATCCCACATATGAGTGATATCATATATTTGTCTTTTTCTGACTTACTTCACTTAGTATGATAATCTCTAGGTCCATCCTTATTGCTGCAAATAGCATTATCTCATTCTTTTTTATGGCTGAGTAATATTCCACCGTATATATGTACCACATCTTTATCCATTCCTCTGTCAATGGGCATTTAGGTTGCTTCCATGTCTTTGCTGTTGTAAATAGTGCTGCAATGAACATTGGGAGAATCTGTTTCTTTTTATGTTTTTTATTGTTTGCTCTATGGATAATAAGGTGCTGTTTTAGGAAGGTATCAAGCTGTGGCCTAGATTTGTTAGGTGCTGCTGTCTCCAAATAGGAACGAAGAACTGGCCTTTGGCTTTAAATCTGTTTTTGGACCCTCTTGCCTGTTTGAATACATTTGAATGTTTCTTTTGTAGAAAAATAGGATAGTAAAAAGTTTAACTTGTACTACTTGGATTTTATTTTGCTTTTGAAGAAAAGTTATTTAAACTATTAAGTAAAAGACATAATGTTCTCGATTCTGCTACATCAACTGGACTAAATACATATGAAGTCACTTTATATAATTTAATATTAAACTTTGATGCGAAAGTAAGAGTCCAGAAATCTAAACCATTAATGAATTAGGAAAAGTTTTGCTCCACATTCCATGTAGTTATTTGAACTAATAATGGTCCGATTTTTGTTTTGGTGGAAGTAGACAAAGTCTAGAATTATGTCAAGGCCCCTTCTCCCTTCTGGCTCTGTGGTTTGGCACCATCTTTTTGTACTGAACAGAAAAGAGTAAACTGTGCGCTCATACAGTCTCTTCCACTCGTTTTCATTCCCAGATCTTCAGGGAGCAGTTGTTTTGATCTGTGCTGTTTCGCTGTTGGGGAGGCACTGTACATGCGGTCATTGAACTTCTGTTCCCACACATGATTGTTTGGCGTTCAGGAAGAAACACAGAAGGAAGCATTGCAGCTGAGGAAGAAGTGGTCCCTAAAGTAAATATCTAGGGTTCTTCTGGGATTCATCCCGGGTCAGGTCACTTCCTTGATCTGAGGAGACCAGAATGGAATCAGGAAGAGCGATTGACCTCACACAGAGGATGATGGCTCAAACCATCTGCAGGGAAGGCTTTTCTTTGTTTACCTCAGGCTCTTCCTGATTGCTTCTACAGCCCTCTGGGAAGGAAGGCTGGCAGTTCCTGGAATCTGATCGAATTCATTCACCCTAATGTGTGACTGCCTTAGAACCCCATTTTCCCTAGGGGGTTTTCAAAGAGGAAGCTTATTTACCTATAGAATTCTCTAGTGGTTGAATTTAATTAGCTTAATTGGGTGAAATGGAAAAACATATTCCAGCTGATAATAGAGGAAAGCCAGGCAGAGAGATCTTAGCAGCAGAACCTTACCCAGCATTTTCTTCTCAGGATGAACTCCAAAGCTAACCTTCTTTCCTTAACTTCTCTTTTTCAACAACAACAAAGTAACTATTTTAATGTCTCATGGCAGTGGGAGTGCGTTTAGGTGATCGGGGTTGCAGCAGTATTATTTGGGCTAATCTGGGCCAAACTTCAAGTGTAATACTTCATGCAGGAACATTAGAGAAAATGCAAAAATCAGTCAAAGAGAGGCTCTGAAACCTTAACAAATTTAAACACAGATTGCAACAGTGTGCACCTTTCTTTAAAGGTTAGGAAAGCTGGGTCCTCACCCCTGCTTGGCCACTAACTGTGAACTGAAGAAGGTCCCATGACCCAGGTGGGTCTGCATTTTCTCCTGTACGAAATGATTGGTGCCTGCGTTATATTCAGCACAGATTATAATAGACTCTTGATGTGGAAAACCATGGAAAACCAGGGCTTACAGAGTCTCTGCCTGAGGGTGGACAAAGAATATGAAAGAAAAACCTGTTACTTAAGAACAAAAACAAAATGTTGCTGTGAAGGTGCTTCTGTCCAGACTAGTTTTGGATTCTCTGTGGATTTCACATTTCAGTACCCTTTCTGTCCATTACTGCCACAATAATTCAGAGTTAAACATTTAAAATAGGAGTACTCTCAGATTGTAAAATAACTGAACATGACAGCGACATCTACCTTTTTTTGTTTATCTGTAATATCTAATGTAGTAAGTACGATGCATGTAAGATTAATCTTGAGAATTCCAAGTTCTCTATTCATTCTACATATTGTTACAGCATTGAGTTGGTGAGGGATTTACAAAAAGATACATGTGATCTCAGGCCTTAGGAACCTCTTTTCCGCAGAAGGAGACAACTGCCGAGCAAGGCTGATTTGATAAATTCACCAGGAGAGTAATACAAGGTACAGAACTGGGGGGTCCAGAGGCCCAGGGATCAATGCCAGATGTGCAGGCCTGTCTTGCAGCAGTTCAGGACCCGTCAGTGAGGTGCTCTGAGTTTTCTCCAGCTGCACCTTGTCATCCAGAAGCAGGAGCTGGTTCATGGTTTGGTGTCCTTACTGCAGTAGGTAGGAGTGTGACTGGAGAGAGAGAGACCCGGGCGGAGGCTCTTTGCGGAGCGACGCTGCTGGGGCAGGACCCCTCAGGGAAGGAGTGGAGAAGTCTGTAGGGAATTCAGCTAGACTGACATGCTCATTCTTTTAAAAGTGATCAGGCATCTTCATGTCTCAGTGGTCCTTGATTGTTGAAGCGAGTGGGGCGCTGTAGGGGTGCCTTCTGAAGCAAAGGGAGTGTTCAGGGCAGCCATCCTTTCTGTCTCCATCACTACGTATTCATTAATTGGGATTTAAGTGTGGAGACTGTATATGTGCCTGTTCCTTCCCAGTACAATGTGGCGTGATGGAAACAGCACAGGATTGTGATTCAAAAGCAGTATCTCAAGAGTCCTGGCTGCTTGTCACCTCTATGAATTTAGGAAAGTTGCTTACCTTCGAAGGGCCTGAGTTTCTTGGTCTATGAAATACCAATGACAGAGATAATAACAGTAGCCTTGCCGGGTGCTCTGAGGACCACGTGGGGTGTGGGAGGGCTCTGAGCCCCATCCTATAGCGCTGTACCAGTCATTAAGATCCAGTTAAGCAACTAACCTCCTTATCTTTGTGTTTATTATTTCAGTGGTTCCCTGTCAGACAAGCGATTTCTGTTTACCACCAATGGTAAGGATCATGCTTTCCTTAAGAATTTGATATTTTAAAATCTTCAGGGGTAGTTTATTCTTCCATACCCCTCAGATGATATGGTTTAAAAGATTAATTTTTTCTTTTCCCCTCAGGTCATGTAGCACCAAGTATGCTGTGACTTAAAAATACATCAGACAATAAACCCAGTTAACATTAGGAAAAAAAATTTTTTTCTTTATAATCTAAAACTTTTGCCAGAAAAAAATGAAAATTTGAAATGACAGTTAAGGTAAATTCCTTTATGTCAGATTTTAACAGAAAAATCTTTTGAGCAGTGCAATTTGATGTGTGTATCTGGAATGACGTTATTGAAAATGAATAGCATAAAGGCTTTTTAGCCCCTCTGTCATGGAATATGTTCTGGGGACATATTCTCCCTCACATAAAATAACATTTCAAGGAGAACAATACAAACATGTCTTCTCTGCCCAGGAGGAAGACTGGCCTTTATCTGCAACCTCCACATTGTCTTGGACATGGTATAGTTAAGCTCCCAGGGGTGATGTTGGGTACAATTAACTGATCTTCAGAGCACCTGACGTACCTGCTCTTCAGGGGTAGAGAGCGTGGAGTCCTCCCTCTGATCAAGTGAGAAGAACCTCAGCATTTTCAGCTTTTAGGACACCTTGTACTTCGTTGAAATCATGGTGAATTTAGATTAGAAAGGAAAATCTACAGTGGGGACAAAGAGATGTCACTTATAGGGGATATAAGGTCCATTAAGAAGAAAAGCAGCAATAGTATCAAGATACCACAGCATCAGCGAGTCAAATGCAAGTCTGAATCATTAAAAAACTAGTAATTAAACAGTTGATTCAATATCAGAATGGAAGTAAATCAACCGAGTAATTCTAGGTGAAACGGGGTGCTTTGTTTTTCTGGTTTTCATTTTGTGTCTATATCTGAAATAGTTCCCTGCCCTTTTTTTCTAGGTTGCAGCAGATCCTTGAGTTTGGAAGCTGACCGGCAAATCAGAGCTTCTTCTTCTTGGGAGTGGATCAATGAGACCGGAGAGCAGGTCCGTTGGTCTCCTGGCCAAGCCCGACTTCAGGACCAAGGCCCGTCATGGGCTTCGGGGGACAGGAGCAAGAACCACAAACGAGAGTGGCTGAGGATAGATTTGGGAGAGAAAAAGAAAATAACAGGTACTGAAACGAGTGCAGTTTCACAAAACAAGATGACTTGCAGTTGAAATTATGTTTTGAATTTGCACAGGTGCCCCCACCTCAGAGTACTCCATGTCTTTTTTTTTTTTAAATCTTTATTGGAGTATAATTGCTTTACAGTGTTGTTAGTTTCTGCTGTACAACAAAGTGAATCAGCTATACGCATACATATATCCCCATATCCCCTCCCTCTTGCGTCTCCCTCCCACCCTCCCTATCCCAGCCCTCTAGGTGGTCACAAAGCACCGAGCTGATCTCCCTGTGCTATGCGGCTGCTTCCCACTAGCTATCTGTTTTACATTTGGTGGTGTATATATGACCATGCCACTCTCTCACTTCGTCCCAGCTTCCCCTTCCCACCCTGTGTCAAGTCCGTTCTCTACATCTGCGTCTTTATTCCTGCCCTGCCACTAAGTTCATCAGTACCATTTTCTTAGATTCCATATATATGTGTTAGCATACGGTATTTGTTTTTCTCCTTCTGACTTACTTCACTCTGTATGACAGACTCTAGGTCCATCCACCTCACTACAAATAAGTCAGTTTCGTTCCTTTTTATGGCTAAGTAATATTCCATTGTATATATGTACCACATCTTCTTTATTCATCTATTGATGGACATTTAGGTTGCTTCCATGTCCTGGCTATTGTAAATGGTGCTGCACTGAACATTGGGGTGCATATATCTTTTCAAATTATGGTTTTCTCAGGGTATATGCCCAGTAGTGGGATTGCTGGGTTGTATGGTAGTTCAATTTTTAGTTTTTTAAGGAACCTCCATAGTGTTCTCCATAGTGGCTGTATCAATTTACATTCCCACCAACAGGGCAGGAGGGTTCCCTTTTCTCCACACCCTCTCCAGCATTTATTGTTTCTAGATTTTTTGACGACTGGCGTGAGGTGATACCTCATTGTAGTTTTGATTTGCATTTCTCTCATGATTAATGATGTTGAACATCCTTTCATGTGTTTGTTGGCAGTCTGTATATCTTCTTTGGAGAAATGTCTGCTTAGGTCTTTTGCCCATTTTTGAATTGGGTTGTTTGTTTTTTTGATATTGAGCTGCATGAGCCGCTTGTATATTTTGGAGATTAATCCTTTGTCAGTTGCCGTGTCTTTTTCAAAAGTAACAAATCTTCACATTGTCTCTGTGGGAAGAACCTGTATGCAGGGGGTAAGGATGGATGTGTGGGTGAGAGAGCTGATATCTCCGTGCTGAAACCTTTTTACGGCATATTGTCAGTGTGAAAACACTCATCTGTCATCACGTTTCTAAATGCAGATAAGAAAAGCAGGCCTGTAAAATGATTTGCAATTTCAAATGAGAGGGAAAAACAGAAAAGAAACCTGAAGTTATAATACATGTTGTATAACATATTTTTTAAACTAACCCATAAATAATATTTTCTTACAAGGAATTAGGACCACTGGATCCACACAGTCAAATTTCGACTTTTATGTAAAGAGTTTTGTAATGAACTTCAGAAACAACGACTCCAAGTGGGAGACCTATAAAGGAATTGTGAATAATGAAGAAAAGGTAAGAGACACTCTGGAGGAAGGAACTGAGTAGGAGAGTGGGCCTCCAAATATTTTCATCAGTTCATCAGTGTGTTTCCAAAAACAGATGCACAGCACCCGATTACTTAGCCTTTGAGTGCAAAGCCTTGTATCTTCAATATCAAGCATGTCTATAAAAAAGCAACAGACATAGAATCCTCACTTTGATTTCATATAACCAGGTGTGAGTAGATTGATAAAGACCTAGAAACTAATAGAATCTTCAGGTAAAGGTTACCTGTTCCTACAGGTGTTTCAGGGCAACTCTAATTTTCGGGACCCTGTGCGGAACAATTTCATCCCTCCCATCGTGGCCAGATATGTGCGTGTTATCCCCCAGACGTGGCACCAGAGGATAGCCTTGAAAGTGGAGCTCCTTGGCTGCCAGATTGCACCAAGTAGGACTCAGGGTGAGTCAGTGAGTTACTGGATTCTGGTCACCTTCTTTCACAAATTGTTGTTATTAATGTGGTTTCTCTAACATCTCTTCTCGCTCAGGTAATGACTCATTGGTGTGGAGCAAAACAAGCCTAAATACTGTTGGTTCAACTAACAGAGAAGATGAGACAATCTTAAAACCCATCCCCTCTGAAGAAATGCCCAAAGGTAGGGCAGTTATCGTTTTGCGGTTTCTTAAGGAATATAACTTGTACTCCAGCCAATAATACGGTAGCTTCAACAACATTCTTTTTTTCTGTGTCATATAAGTGTCTGGGGGCAGATGGTCCAGAGATATCTGCACATGTGTAAAATAATATATGTCCACACTTTTCATTACACTATTGTAAGTAGAAAAAGACTGGAAACAAACGTGTGCCCTTCAAACACTATGTAAATCTTTTATAGAAAAATAAAACAATAGCACATCCATATCATGGAATACTCTACAGCCATAAAAAAAGGAATGTGTTAGTAATATAGAAAGTTCTCTGAGACACACTGACAGCTTAAAAACATAAGCATGGTACAGAACAGTTTACATAGCACTCGACCATGTGTGTAAAAGGGGGGGGTGATACAGCATCTCTCTCTCTCTCTCTCTCTCTCTCTCTCTCTCTATATATATATATATATATATATATATATATATATATATGTATTCATCCAAGTATATCTGGAAAAATGTCAAGAAACATAATTTCACATAGAGGAAGAACAGAGGTGGAAGGGAGACATTCCATTCCATACCTTTCTATACATTTTTTTTCCTTTGCGGTACGCGGGCCTCTCACTGTTGTGGCCTCTCCCGTTGCGGAGCACAGGCTCCAGACCCGCAGGCTCAGCGGCCATGGCTCACAGGCCCGGCCGTTCCGTGGCATGTGGGATCTTCCCGGGCCGGGGCACAAACCCGTGTCCCCCGCATCAGCAGGCGGACTCTCAACCACTGCGCCACCAGGGAAGCCCTGAATCCTCTCTTTTTGCTTTCCAATATCAGTAAATGCCTAGCATGTATTCTTGTCCCCGACATGTTAAACCACTGAGGACCTTTCAAATCAGTATTCAGTTTTAGATCATGAAATTTGGTTGCTGTTCATTTCTGCTGTAATATGATGTCTTTTCCCCTTCTTAGGGTTAAACGTCATAACTATTGTTACTCCACTGGTGCTCCTCGTCCTGCTGGTTGCTGGAGTGGGAATCTTTGTAGTCCTTAGAAAGTATGTGACTTCACATTTAAAAAAAATTTTTCTCGAATTATGTAAACAGTCACAAAAGTTTACTCTTCGTATGTTCATGTGTAGAAAGCAGCATTACTTCTCCCAAGATAAAATGTGAACTTCTATTTTAAAAACAAGTTGTATAGAGGTAGAAAATATCATGTATTATTTTATGAACAGTACTTATCATTTAGAAATCTTTTCAGTGGGATTTTTTGTCTTGATAGGAGGAAGAAGAAAGGAAATACTTATGGATCAGCTAAGGCTCAGAAAACAGGTTGGTTGAAAAAACTATCTACAGTTTTATTCTGTCCTTGAGGAAGGGCGAGAATCTGCTGATTAAAAGCATGATTAGGTGCTTTTAATCAGCAGATCCTGATTAAACCCTACACTTATATGGTTTAAGAAATAAGATCTAATAGCTTTAAGTTAACAAATCTACCAGGAAGGAATATATTGTATCCTGTCTCTTAATTCAGAATCTTCATAGCCAGTTTATTTTTACTTTTGTTCAACATCATCCCATCATTTATCAAAATTAATTAATTACTTTTTTTTGGCAACTGGAATTTACATCACCACGCTGCCTGTCACCAAGGAGAAGTTATAAAATCCCCATCTGTGAACTGGACATTGCCCGGCACTCCCAGCATCTTCAGGCCTCCATTGTATTTTTCACTCTAGGGAAGGACTAGGCAGGGCGGGTTTCAGAAAATCCTTAGGACACAGGATGCCAAGCAATGAGTCAGCTGCAGTCGAGAGAGAGGGCAGCAGGGCAGGACCCTCCTGAGAATCTCAAGGACCACCTGGGACTCCACCTCCCTAGGCTCTAAACAGCCAGCTTGCATTGACCCCTCACAGTCACAAACACCATGCCAGTGCAGATTAGGGAAAACCATGCCCAGGTGGTCTGACCTAAGGATAATCTGGGACCTGACGGGTACACAAATACATTTTACCCGCAGAGTAGAAAGCATGGTTGGGATGGTGTGTGCTGTTGTTGTTGTGACCTCATCATGCTGTGTCCACCACACACACCTGGAGAGCTGTGGTTGTGTATCTGTCACAGTCAGCTGGCAAAAGGCAGCCTGACCTCTGACTTAACCTGGAACCTGTGGTGGAGTAAATGTGTTACACTTCTGAGAGATTAGTTTGTTTCATGTTATCTTTATTCCAGACTGTTGGAAGCAGATCAAATATCCCTTTGCCAGGCATCAGTCAGCTGAGTTTACCATCAGCTACGATAATGAAAAGGAGATGACACAAAAGTTGGATCTCATCACAAGTGATATGGCAGGTAGGTACCAAGTCTCCGTGACCATGCTGTTAGCCAGGAGGTGCTGCTTATGGGAGAGGGGAGACCAGGAAGAGAAATAAGACCAAAATCTTTTGTTTAGATGGGGTCTAGTAAAGCAGTAATTTGTGACATTTTCTCTCTGCTCTGCACAGAGTTACAAAGTGACACTGAAATATTTCCCAAAAGCCCCATTCAGCCAAGGCTCTTACACCTGCAGGGCCTCTAATGACACCCAGAGCAATGGTCCTGAAGTACCAGTGAAATCTGGGAGCCCTTAACTAATCTGTTTTTGTTACTAAGGTTTTGATTAAGGCACTAGGAAAAAGGGACTAGAAAGATGAACTGAGCATAGCTCCTGCCCTTGACGAATTGGAGGTAGGAGATGAAGGAATCTGTTAGAATGGCCTCAAGGTCCCTGACAAGCCATTATTGAGAGTCAAGCTTCTCAAACGATTTGTGAGGAAGGATCCAGTTTTTGCCTTTTATTTCTTTAATCCATCAAGGACTAAAATTTTTGTAAAATACAGTATAAATTAGTAAATGAAATGTTTAAAAAGACAAAATACAAAGCTCTAATTTTCTAATAGGTTCAAGGGACATAAAATCACTCCTCTCAAATTGCTGCAAGATCTGAACACTTTCTATCCATTTGTGCACTTGTCTCTTTACAGATCTGTCACAAACAGTTCTCAGACAGGTAGGCATCCACAGACCACTGTGAGTAGCACTGCTCTAGCTTTTTGCTACTCAGAGTGTGTTCTGAGGACCGACAGCAGCATCTGGGAGCTTGCTAGAAATGTGGGCTTTCAGGCCATGCCCCAGGGCTACTGTTATATACGAAAGTCAGAAAGGTACCAATGGAAAGGCTGCTTGACCTGCTTCAGGGGCAAAGGGAGTAATTCTCCAGTCAGAATCCGTCTTCTTGTTCCTTTCCTCGGACAGTTCAGGCTCTGCCTCGGGGGTGAGGCGAGGAGAGTGGAGAGCCCCTCCTTTCATTCTCCTTTAGCTTCTGGCCCAGCCTCTTCTTCCTCGCTGCGTGGTCCTTCTGGGCACCTGAAACATGCAAGGCCCCACTCTTGCCTCCACTCATCTGCAGTCCCACCCACTACACTCCAGAGCTCCCGGCAGAGCCATTCCCTTCCTTTTTATCTGCTCTGCAGCTCACATCCAGACTTCCCTCCTGGTCCCCAGTAAGTCAGTAATTCTTGCCTGCTGGACATCATCTCCTGCAAGTGTCACCAGGTCCTCAGGGGATCCAAAATTGAACCCATCGTTCCTAACCCTTAACCTATGTGCTCTGTGCATTCCTTTTCTAAGTGGCTTCTGAATGGGCATCCCAGTTTTCAGGGCTTAATATCTGGGAGGTGTCCTCTTTGGTCATACCCTCCCTACGTCATTGGTGACAAATTCCTCTGATACCTGTCCCCAAAGTGTGGCCTTTCCAGAGCTGCTGCCAGTCCCCTAATTTATGACTTATATGTCTCATTTCTCTGCTTTTTGGGTTTTTTTAATCTTTCCCTCTTCAGTCTCCCTCCATGGTTACCTCTTCTGCCAGTCTCTAAATTTAGAATCTTTGTAGGTTTCTACAGCATTAAACCAAACTTCCTAGCAAGGCACTCAGTGCCCTCCATGATCTAGCACATGGATAACAGCTCGCACTTGGGACACGTGTTCAAATTCTTGACCCACTGGCTGCTACCTGTGTAATCTTGGAAAAATTAATCTCTCTCTGCTTCAGTTTTCCATTTGTAAAAGGGAATAATAGACCCTACCTCATAGTACTTTTTTTCCAGAGGATTTAACTAATTGATATCTTAATGTCATAGAATAGTGCCTGGCACCAAGTAAGACTCAGTAAAGCTTTGAGCTTTATCCTTATCATTAGCCCCAAACCTATTACTTTGGTCTTCATATCCTATTAAATTCCTCCATGTCCCTCATGCTCTGGCAACATCACACTCTATGTTCATGGTTGTTTAACACGTTGTTCAATCACTTTTCCCTTTCCTGACAGTGTTACCTCCACCTCCAAAACGTGGCCTTTCAGGAGTCAGCCTAAGAGCTCCCCGTGAAGTTGTTCCCTCCTACCCCTAGGTGTGGTTAGAGGTTAGCTCCGCCTCTCTAGGTTCCTCGGAGCCTTGAGGCTTCCTAAAGCACCTGTGTAGTTATGTAAACCCCTAAGTGTGGCGTCTGTGCCTTTTACATCTTAATCTTTCTCTTCCTGCCCCGTACACGTCAGGCCCTCAGCAGAGCACCCCCTCTAGACAGCCAGTTTGTGGGTGTATGGTGTGGGGGGGGGGCGGGGCGCGGTGCACAAACATCTGCCCTTTGGGTTTCAGATTACCAGCAGCCTCTCATGATTGGCACCGGAACGGTCACCAGGAAGGGCTCTACCTTCCGGCCGATGGACACCGAGGCCCATGAGGCGGGGCCGGACGCCGAGGCTGGCGGCCACTACGACTGCCCCCTCCCGGCCGGCCGCCACGAGTACGCCCTGCCCTTGACCAACCCCGAGCCCGAGTATGCCACGCCCATCGTGGAGCGGCACCTGGCCCGGGCTCACACCTTCTCGGCGCGGAGCGGCTACCGCGTGCCGGGGCCCGGGCCGGCGCACAAGCACTCCCTCTCTTCCGGCGCCTTCTCCCCGGCCGCCAGCTACCAGCTGCCGCCGAGCCCCGCGCCCGCGGACCCGGGCTACGACAAGCCCAAGGGCGGCGGCGGCTCAGCCGCGGGGCGCGCCGATCCCACCTATCAAAAGCCGCAGGTCAACCCCGCGACCAACGCTGCCTACTTGGCCCCCAGAGACTGCCTCAGACCCCTCAACCAGACGGCCATGACCGCTCTGCTGTGAACACACTGTGAATGAAAGCTGCTGTGGTACTGAGCGCCGGGCTGTGCGCGCGCGAGAGAGAGACAGAGTGAGTGTGTGCGCGCGCGCGCGTGTGGTTTAACAGGATCCTGCGGTGGAGTC